TCTGCAGTCCTAACTTTTGCCGGTAATACATAATGTATCATGTACAGAGCTGGTAAAGAATAGCGAGGAGGAAATTGGCAGCTGGACGAGCGTGCGTCCGCATCCGCGAGGGCGGCGTCCCGAGTCTGAGAGCGTGGAAGTCATCACAGCGTCTCTAGTGGGATCGCTCTTGAGTCAGCCTCAGAGAGATGATTGGTCAGACCGACACTGGTGCGTATGTAGTGGTCGCTGCTGCCTGACATCCTCCTAACTCTTGAGGCCATAGACGAGGTCACTTACAGCATAGGACCTCGCGCAAAGACAGTTTTCGGCGTGTCCCGGGCCAGAGGCAAACTGACGCGCGACCGAACGCACACACCGTGTCTCCCCCGTTCTTGCCTCGACCCACAATGGCTTGACCTCAATTCGTCCAATGAGATTCCCGTGTTAATAGATTGGCCTCATTTGGTAAGTTGGCCTCAATCTGTATGGACACAGACGACAACGCGACTGGAAGTGCGCTCCGACAGTGAAAACTTCCTCCTAACTATTCTCTAATTCTCCGCACAGAATACACCTTTCCTTCTACCCTGGCCTTTTCGTGACTTCTCTCTTCTCCCAAGGAACCGGGCCTGGAAGATCGCAGCCGTCAGGGTAAACCTTATTAGCCTTAATTCTACGCGATACGCACTACTAGCAGTCACGAGAGGGCAGGCGTTGCACGCGGAGTTGGGTTACCACATATCTACCAAAAAGCATACGCGAGATACTGGGCGACCCATCGATGACTTGAAACCATCGCAACAGTTATAATTCACCTTGTGCTCACCGGAATAAATGTGGAAATTTGCCGATGTTTCAGATAAAGCAATACTGAACGTTATCGATCAGCAGTTTAACGTTGCGGCCGTAAGTGTTGGCCTTGGGCTGATCGATTTTTCTCCGTTCGCTGTTTGGCCTTCCATGTGGTTTTTGGTTTGGCGTGACGGCAATTGGTGGTCTGTTCTGTCCCCACGGTAGATGCTGATAATCTTGCTCTCTCTTCCAGTGGTTTCGTCACAGTGCCGCCTTCGTCTGCAAGTCCTGACTTCGGTTTGACTGTGTCCTGTCTTTTACTAACGTAATGGCGTAGGACTTTGTAGCCCGCGTGGAGGTCCAGATACCTGTTGACAGAGTTGACGTCTGAGTACCATGCCTCAAGCGTCAATATTGCAGTTTTTGAGGCTCCTCGACCTACGATGGTCGTTTCTTGAATATCGAAGTCGTGGCCAGTCTCTCCGATATGTGGTGCAAGCTGTGACGAGGGGGTGCGTGCGTTCCGTCGCGCGTCAGCTTGCGTCTGGCCCGAGACACGCCGAAAACTGCCTTTGCGCGAGGTCCTATGCTCTAAGTGACCAGTCTAAGGATGCCACGATAAGCGAACATTAGCACCACAGGGAAAGCTAACACTGAGCAATAATTCTGGCGGACCGCTAAAACAGCGTTCTGAATCAGATTTAGGAGACAGGACTCGCACTTATAGATAGGAACGAGAGTTTAATTACGCTGACCTTCAAGATCGAAGAAAAAA